AAGTGAGCGACGTTCGACTTAATATCAAATTCTAAAATTCATCTCGGGACCACTTTCGTCTCGAAAGACAAAATCGTAACTTTTATTTTAAAATCTCTTTGTCTTGAAAAACAAATTTGAGAACACTTAAGTCTTGATTTTAAGAACGTTTTATCTCAAACGAGTGAGAAGGCGATATTTCAAATAACGAACTTTTGATCTTGGCTTTTCCCTTCTCATTTTTTTCTCTTTGTATTAAAAAATCTTGTTATCCTAAAGACATATAATACCAAGTTATTAAAAAAATTTCAAATAAGGAACTTTTGATCTTGGTTCTTCCCTCCTCATATTTTTCTGATTGTATTAAAAAATCTTGGTATTTTAAAAACATATAGTACTAATTTATTTGTAAAAACTTCTCAAAACACCTATTTAAGTATGACTTATAAACGTTTAAAACTGTATAATAAAAACAAATTGGGTTTTTCAAGCAATTTCAAAAGTCTTAAAAATCCGTTGTACAGAGTATGGACTGTAGTTTGTGTGCTGGCTGCTCGAGTGCACCGCAGGTCCATTTAACTTAGCTTTGGCAGTGGCAGTGGTAGTAGTAGTAGTTCTAGTGGCCCAGCTAGCTAGTCTCCTCCCTTGCCGTCCGACTCTTTCTCTTCTTGCTCGACTCGGTGCATCACTCAAACGCCGGGGAACCCCCGTTAACCCCCAAACGAGGCGACAGGAATGCGTGTGTACCGGGGCAAGAGCAAGTATGAGTGTGGGCAACGTAATTTGCATGGTCAGCTTGCAGTTTTGGGACACACAGAGTGGCAAGTGTGCCTCGTCCTCGTTCTCGTCCTCGTCCCTGGCTTAATTGCATGCAGAAATAGCAACTACAGGAGCAGCCTCATCAGCATCGGCAACTTCATCCAATTGCCTCTGGACCTGGACCCCCAGATCCGTACAATTTCCTGAGTGTAAGCGATGCGTCCCTTTAAAGTTCAGTTTTTAAGTCCCAAGAATAACAGAAAGGGCTGGCAAGTTGAAGGGTTAAAAAAAAGGAATCAAGAATCTGCCAGCGATACTCACCTTCGTTCTGGTGAGCAGGTGATTATGCTGCACGTGGTTCGACACATGGACCGTGCTCGCTTTACGGAACATTACAAAAAATTATAATATACCACTGTCGGGGTACGCGCAAAAAATGAAAGGGTTCCCCCTCATTTTTCCCACCCACTGCACAGACAACCGAGTTGGAGTCAAAATCAGACAATGTTCCGTCCATATGGCTTCACATCGGTCGAAAAAAGAGCCAAGCTTACAAATGGCGCAGCCCGTGGCTGCATAAACGATGGCATTTTTCGGAACTCGAACTTTTTTAGTTGCCATGCGAATCATTTGCAAGCGATTTAATTTCAATTGCATGGGCGTTAATCAAAGGCAACAAAAGGAAACACCTAAAAAATAAAAAAGACCATTCCCTCATTCAATAATATAAAAGAAACAATGGAGACCGTATTAAGAACAGCACATTTTTAAAGGAGCATCCATGCAGAAGCTAGAAAAACATGTTTGTTGAAGTGATTTGTGTGTTATATTCCTAAAACAAAGGGAACTGTAATAGAATACAAATTACCTTTACTTAATTATTATATATATTATATTATTTAATAATATAAAAGAAATAACAGAGAAATAATAGTAATTACAGCACAACGGGAAAATAACCCTCTCCAGATGCTAGGATGCGAAATAATTTTCGTAAAGTAATTTATGAATTAGTCTCTAAACTCGAATATAATTTATATTTCCCCACAATAAACATAATTTCAATGCTTCTGCTAACAATAATGTTACATTTCTTCTTTAAAGAATACCAGCAATTTTGAATAAGGCTTAACAAAACGAAAGAGAAATATCATTATATATATAAGTTCATTTGAAAATTTGATCGATAATATCGATAAGATATCGTATTCTTTTGTTTCATCCATGTGTGATAATATTATATGTTGTTTTTGCTCGTTTTTTTTTTAAATTAAATTTTAAATTGCACGCTTTTCTAATCAGGTAACCTTGAGATGGGTAGCGTAACCGCGTTTCTATAAAGAAATATACATAAACATGGTGGGAAACCCTGATCTGGGAACACTTATAAATCCGTTCCATTCAATAATCGAATCTTTTCTCGGAGTACACAACTATTGCCATATTATTTCGTACATTATAAAAACCATAATACTAAACAATTTATGTATTGAGGCATAGCTATGTTGGTCCCCATCTGCAAGTATGAAATAAGGCGATAGTCAAATAATGTTTATGCACTGCGAAATTATTGACAAAAAAATGAATAAATAATTTAATTTCAAAAAACGTACATACCTGGCTTATACTGCTAAAAAAGCTGTCTTGAATTTGTGTCGGAGTTGACCCGCGATAATCGGTAAAGTACCGCGAACGCGACGCATCCCTAATGAAAGCAAGGCCATAAAAGTGCAGTGGATGCATGGTATTTGCAACAGACACATTTTAACAACGAAAAATATTTGGTATCTATGTTCTTTCACCACCTGGCCACACTGTACGAGTGCAAATTTTTGTTTTGCAATTTTTAATAGTATTTTCCCCGCTCGGCGCGAATTTGCCGAAGAGAAATGAATGGAACGCGTAGACCAAAGTCGCTGAAGACGGTTCGCTTGGCCGACGTGTTGTACGACGAGCATAAACGCATGCTGACACTCTGCCGCAGCTGCGAACGCCATTTTATAACGTTCCAAGCGTTCTACAGCCATATAACCGACTGTTCGGGACTAAAACATATAGTGGCCCCAACCGAACCGCTTTCATACGATGACGCCAAGCGGGAAACGAGGCTGGTGAATGGCCGCCAGGAGGTGAGGTCCCATAAAAACAGCTGAGCGATAAGCAAAGCCCTTTTATGGCCAGGATTTCGTTGAAAAGTTCCTTAGAACCCTGATTATATCGTCCACTTCTTACAGCTTTACATCTACGATCTTGAGGCGGTGAGGAGTTCGAACGACAGTGCCATCGACTGGGAGGCAGAGCTGGAGGATCCGCGCTGGTACACCGACTCCAAGCCCACTGTACAAGCCCAGTCCAAAACCAAATCCAAGGAAAATATTGTCAAGGAGTACTTGGTTGAGCTGACCGAGGAGCCGCCGGAACCGGAAGCGGTGCCCGTGAAACGCCAGCGTTGCCATAGCAATCCTCGCCGCCCTATTCTGACCGCCCAGCAGCAGCGAAGGTCACGAACCAGCCTGCCTTCTACCCAACCGCCCACAGCAAAGGCGAAAAAGGACACTATTCTGGTTCCCAATGTGCTGGAGGATCTGAGGCGTCTGCAGGGCTTGCCAGGAACTCCCAATAAATCTCGTTTACCAGCTGATAGGCCATCGCAGTCACCTCCTAAGGCTACATCTCAAAAACCTCCTCAAGCGACATCTCAGAATTCTCCTCAAGAGACATTTCAAAAACCTCCTCAAGCGAGATCTCAAAAACCTCCTCAAGGGACTTCTCAACAAACTCCTCCAGCGACATCGCAAAAACCTCCTCCCAAGACATTCCAAAGACCTGCTCCTCCGATGCCAGCTGACCCTGTTCCTGCCACAACAGTCAAAGCAACTCCTCCCTTGCAGAACCCACCTATGGATGGGACACAGAAAATTCTTAACAAACTAAGAGCCTGCGGCGTGGAGGTGAAACGGGGAAATACGCGTCTTAATGTCACTACGCCAATCGAACCTGATCCAACCAAAAACCAAGCGACCCTGGACATTATGCGGAAGCTACAATCGAAGGGAATAAGATGCACCAAAGTCAAAAAACCGTAGGGCTGATAGTTGTAATTTTATAGCTTAAGTAATGGTTTTACAATTAAATGTGCCTCTGAAGGCAAGATATTGACAATTTAACTTTATTTAATTCTTGTGATTCCGAATACCTGAGTTAAACACCAGTTTACCTTAACCCACCAGCCTTAAAACGGGCCGTTTTCCCAAATGTTTTTAATAAACAAATATTTGTTTTTGATTTATGTTTGCTTTTTTGGAAATTTTACTGAAATATTGCAAATTGAACATAAAATATGTTACAAATTGAGAGAGATCCCTAAATGGTTCCTGTTCAATTTTTAAACAGCTGTGACTACCTGTCAAATTGTAAGTAGAGAGAGTTGAAGTATAAAACGTACCAATTTTTTATTATAATAATAATGTGTAAAATCATGAAAAGGGTAAAAATAACAATCAAGTTCTTTCTAATTTAATTGTAAAGTAAATAGAGCAGTTAGAGTTGCGAGATTCAAGCGCTGTTTTTGTTGCGGCACTAGTGTGAAATGTGTGATTCCGGCGTACGGCGACACTGCCAATAACTCTCTTCTTCTTCCTTTTTAAGAGGCGCGATGAAATATCGATGCTTAAAAATTTGTATTTTGCTTATAAATAAATTAGTAGTCTTAGACTTACCCCTAAAAAAAGAAAACAAAAGCTTTGTTCTGCAAAACAAATTATATGAAGTTTCAAGAAACCATCATCTTCTGGGAGATCAACTTAGGAGATTAGCTTATTGAAGAACAAATTCTTTGGTTTTTGTTATTGAACGTCAACTTACTTTATCCGATAACAGGAGATTTAGTAATTTGCAATGATTTAAGTTGCATTTAACATGTGTGTTTTAAGTAAACACCAATAACTGTAAGTGTATCTTCACAAAATATACATACATTTATGCTTGTATGTGACAAGTATATAAATCATTTGAAATTTGCAACTCTTTAATGAATATTATGTAGCCCTGAAAAGGGGCGATTTGGTAAAGAGACAAACTTTAAAAATTTCTCCTGGCTAAACTAAGCGCGTCCCCAAAATAATTTTTACACCAAAATTCTTGATTCATCGCCCTCTAAATACGGATTTTTGTTTATTAGTCGGGTCGTTCCGGCCCGACTATTTAAGAATTACCTACATTTTTTAAATTATTAAAATGCACACTTGTGGTTGTATTAAAAATAGAAAACAAAACATTTATTCACTTGGTGTTTTAGACTGAGAGAGAGATCATTTCGGAGATCATTTCTTATAACTAAATTAAACATTTTTCAGAAAACTATAATTTTTGTTAATAAACATAAGTTTGTCGACGACGTCAGGCTTTAGGCGCGTCCTGCGTACAGAAATAATTTGCCCCGCCTTGCTGAAGGCTCTTTCTGACTCGCAGGAAGTGGCAGGGATACATATAAATTTTTTGACCACTTCTTTAAAGGGAGCCATACAGTTCGACGATTCCTGAAAGTATAATAAATTAATAAAAATAATGACATAAAACAATTTAGAAACTTACCTTCCAATATTGCAACGGCTCGCACACTTCGGCCTCATTTAAAGTTATGAAAAAATTAAAAAAAATCTGCTCTTTAACGTACCTTTCCTTTGCCTTTTTTCTTAATAGTGACGGCACAGAAACATCGATGGTTGAAAAAAAACATCGATGATTTAGAAAATTTCAAAAACATCGATGCATCGATTTTTTCATCGATGTTTTGACACCTCTACTGGCCGTCGTTTTCTAACACCGGTCGTCGTTTCGTTGTCTTTCATTCTTCCATTCTCATCTTGCATCTCGCTTTTTTACTGACACTTACGCTGAGGCTTTCTCCCTTTTTCACTGACACTTACGCTAAGGCTGTCTCCCTTTTTCACTGACACTTACGCTGAGGCTGTCTCCCTTTCTCACTGACACTTACGTTCGGCCGACACTTACGTTTTCTTACGTCCCGCTCCGAGAATTCCTGCTCTCTGAACCAACACTGAACCAACTCTCTGAACGCAACACTGGTCGTCGTTGTTGTTCTTGTGGAAAAGTTGGGTTGCCAGTGATACTTTTCGATTTAATTCATTTTCGCGCTGATTAAATGCTTCTTCCGATCTGACACACCACTACGAATCACCGTTAGCACGGGTGGCCCACGCCGAGCGAGCCCCCCGAGAAATTCAAAAGACTGAAATCCCCAAATAGAAACCAAATCACTGCACCTGCACAGACGTGTCTGTGTGCATCGCGATTTCTAATCACTCGCAAGACTTTCATCCACGAAAAGAGACCAGAAAAGGGTCCCAAAGCCCAGCCATTAGGAAGTGTGCCACTTTTTCGCCCCGCAAAACGCCGTCCAATTGAATTCCGTAAGCCAGGCAGCAAATAGAATTAAATAACAGGGGCAAGAGAGAAAGAGACGGAGCACCTGGCGAGGGGCAGGGCGTTTTTTCAGAGTTTCGCTTTTATTCTGGACAACGACGACGACAAGACGTGAGTAGCTTCTACATTTTGTTGTTCCTTTCTTTTTTTTGCCAGAAAAATGGCAAACTTTCGCACTCACAGACACACACAGGTGCATTCCAATTCAGGGCTGCCAACTTTACGCCGGCCCAAACTAACGGTTCCTGCGAACCGCCTCTGTGTGTGTGTGTGGCATGGTGTCCCTGGAATTTCATTCCTGAATATTCCAATTGACAATCGCTCATTTTCATCAGATATTCTGCTCTTTCCAGCGAATAACAACACCCAAATATGAATGGACAGCCGCCCAACGCGGGCGCATCCAAGGTGGACCTGTTCATCACGCATGTGGATCACGTGGGTCCCTACCTGAAGGTCTACGGCCAGGTGAACAGAGACGCCGCCTTCCTGGTCAGCAAGCGCATCGAGCAGGTGCTTCCCACATGCTTCGCCATCGATCCCAGCTGGTCGGTGGAGCGCCAGCAGGCCCTCCTCACGCCCGGCACCTTTTGCATCTTCAAGAGGACCAACGGACCGGCTCCCGGGGATGTGGAGTACATGCGGACTCGGGTGGCCAGCGCCGAGCTGGAGGGCCAGCATATGCGCACGGAGATCGAGTTCCTGGACTTCGGCTTCAAGCGCACTGTGAATAGTCATGATGTGAGTGGGGATGCTCCTTCTGCAGATTTGAAATCTAACCCTTTGACTCTTTCCAGTTAATGTTCCCCAAGCAGCCCAAGCTGCTGCAGAACATTCCGCTGCTCTGCTCCCAGTACATTGTGCTGGGCATCTGCGGCGACTGGGACAAGGCCGATATGGCGGTGGTTCACCAGCTGATTGTCAACCAGACCGTTCAAATCGCCATCGATCCCACACAGATCTGTGACCAAAAGTTCGCAAGCCTGCGCTGGAAGGACTTTGAGCTCAACGAGTTCCTAGTCCAACAGAAACAAATCGGAGCTCCGGTGAGCAAACAACTCATGATGGACCACTGCAAGAAGCTGTGGAAGGATGCTCCGCAGACGCCGGTCGCCGAGCACAACAACAACAGCATACACAGCTCGAAGACGCCCACGGACATTGCGCGTGAGCAGCTAGCTTCGCGTCGCTCCTTGGCCGCTCGCCTGGATGCACAGCGCTCGATCCAGGTGACGCCGCCAAGGCCGTTGAATGTCGATGCCCCAGACTATACGCCCAAACAGCTGCCTCTGGCCAATGTGGTATGCATCGATTACATTACTGCGAAACTTACGCATTAATAAACATTTATATTTACAGACAAATGTACAGGTGCCATTGCAAGGCCTGGCAAATACTCAGAAGCCGGCCTATGTGCCAGCCAATCCTTATAATCGTGCCAACTATCAGCCCGTTGATCCGGCTGCTCAACCTTATGTGCCCAAGGCGCAACCCCGATCGCTTTACACTTACTACAATGTTCGGATGAACCAACCGATGACCGGCATGACGCCGGCCCCTCAAAATGTGCCCATTCAGCCCTACAACCAATCGGCTAAGTACGTCCCGCTCAGTTATGCTCCCGCACGCTTCACCCCGCCACCAACGCCGTCGTTGGCTCAACGGGCCCAGCAACGCACCATTCCGGCCTTTAGAACCACAAGCCTAACGGTGGGCCTCACGTACGACGTGGATATAAGTTATGTGGAGAACGGTCCGTATCTATTTTGGGTGCATCTGAAGAGCAGTGGCCCAGATCTGAGCGCGATGATGGGTCAGATTGAACGCACGATGCTGAAGCCGCTCAACCAAGCTCCTGAACTTGGAACCGCTTGTGTCGCACGTTTCTCGGAGGATGGCCATTTGTATCGGGCTTTGGTCAGCGCTGTCTACGCCCAACGTTACCGCGTCGTCTACGTGGACTATGGAAACTCGGAGCTGCTGCCGTCCAGCGATCTCTTCCAAATACCCCCAGAGATGTTGGAGATCAAGCCATTCGCCTTCCGCTTTGCGTTGGCCGGAACCAAGGAGCTCGAGCCCATTGACGAGAGCATGAAAAGAATTTTTAAGAAGTCGGCCATATACAGGAATTTTGAACTGACTGTCCAGGCGCCGGAGAGCGTGGGTTCCATGCAGACCTGCCACCTCAACCAGAATGTCAGTCCAATATTATATTTTTTTATAGTTATTAGCCATCAAACGAGGTACAAATTAGACTAAACTCTTTTATTATATCCATTTTAGGGTACCAATATGCTAGAACTACTCAGACAACTAAAAAACTCACGTCAATCCTATGCAAAGGCTGAGCAACTGCAAAATGACGACGCCGTAGAAATCCGCTTCATTGATTCGCCCAGCAACTTCTATGTGCAGAAAGTGGCCAACATCGGAAAGTTCGAGGAGCTCATGGATGAGATGTTCTCCTACTACAATGCAAACCAGAAGGTGCCCGATCAGTTAATCCTGGGCGCACCATGCATTGTAAAATGCGATCAGGAATGGTACCGTGCGGAGATCCTGCGCGTTGATGATTCTGTAATCGTGCGGCACGTAGATTTTGGCTATGAACAGAATGTGAAACGCCATCTTATTGGCCACATAGCCGAGAAGCATTTGGAGATGCCGCGCCAAGCAATCAAGTGCTGCCTAAAAGGCTTCGAAAACAGTGAACTGAGTGAGAACAAGATTACCGACCAGTTTGAGATGTTGGCCGAGGAATCCAATATCCAACGTCGTACATTTAGTGTGCGTATCTTTCGCATCGAACCCGATGGTCTGAATGTGGTCAATCTGCTGGCCAAGAACCTGAATGTGATGAAGAAGCTCTTTAAGCTTTCCATGCCCTTCGAGCAGTATCTGTCGCTGGAGAAGGGACAGTTCAATGCTAATAACACGCGCGCTGAGTCTGTGGTTTCTTCTGAGCTGGATAAAAGTCATATTCTCAACTCTACCAGCATTGTGGAGAGCGAGGATCGTTTGCAGTTGCAGGAGAAACAGCAGCATCAGAAGAAAGAGCAGGTGCAGCAACCACTAGTGGTTGAAATTCCGCAGCCGGTGAGGGCAGGAAGTGGAAGCAAAAACTCACCAGATTGGGACAAGCGAAGCTCCACCTCGGCGGGCTCCAAGGACAGCAAGCGTCAGCAGCAGCATAGTCAGCGGTTCGATCGCCATTTGGACTCCAGCTTTGAGACGCAGAGCACCAGCAGCTACACCAGTGGCATGAGTTCTCCCCGCAAGGGCAACCGACAACAGAATGGTCGCACACCGATTCAGTCACCACGGCATAATGGTAAACAGGAAGCGAACAAAAACGCGTGAGTACTTTTAGTCATTTGCTACTCTTACCTTGTTATACAATAACTAATAACAAACAATTCCAGACGCTTTAACAACAACGAGTCGCCACGAAAGAATGAAGACGCCCAGCAGCGGAACCAACGCTCTCAGAATGCTCCTCAGGGGTATGCCCAAAAACCGCAGCGTCAAAAGTCGACTTTGGACGGAACCCTCAGCTCAAAACGTTCCAGCGGAGTGGAGAGTGATGCTGCCTCTTCCACCACCGAATCGGTGCCATCCACCAAGCCAGAGAAGTATGTATCTCTGGACAAGCCGTTTGTGCTGCAGGAAATGAAAACACCCAGCAAAGAGGCGGCTAGTCTGTCCTGGTGGGTCTCGCCCTTCCAGTTCTACGTGGTCCCCAAGTCGTCCTCCGCAAAGTACGATAATGTCCTGCGCGATATGAGACAATTCTACCGCCAGAAGCAGCATCAGCCACTTCAGCTAAAGGTTGGATCCACTGTGGTGGTGCGCCAGCGAAAGGACAACGCTATACTCCGAGCTACAGTGACCGCCTGCAACCACATGATGCGCAAGTATCGCGTCTTCTGTGTGGACACAGGCAGCATGATAACGGTCACCTCGGAGGATGTTTGGCAACTGGAGCAGCGCTTCGCGGAGGCACCCTGCATGGCCCATCGCTGCAGCTTCCACAGTGTGGTTACCAACTACGATCCCTTGTACATTGTGGACCGCATGGAAAAGTTTGTACCAGTCAATGCCAAAGTAGAATGCGAATTTCTGTCCAAAGAGAAGAGCAACCAAACCACGAATAATAACAGTAGTTGCTCCTACACAATCAACATGTTTGTGAATGGAGCATCACTGCGAGACACGCTTGTCAAGGCTGAATTTCTAACTGAGGTGGCGCCCGGTAAGACAACTTCCTGCTACCATTAACTTCCACGATCAATTTAATCGTTTACTCAAAAACGAAT